CCCCCCCCCCAAGAGAGAGGTTTTTCCTAAATCTGCAGAATTAGGTCATTAGTGCAAGGGCAAAAACAGTTCTGCTTTCATCTACTGAAGGTGTCAATAGTTCAATGGGATGGAACTCTCCAGCTCTGTGTCTCATCCAGACACATCACCCAGGGATCACAGGGATCTGTTTGCTACTGCCATTTGATGTCCCCAGCCAGAGCTGAGGAATTTACATCTTTCTGCAGCACTCTCAACTTCTCACCATTTTTCACCTCCGAAGAAACAATCTTAAGTAGTGCTCCAGGTTGATTCAGCTGATTTTCTGCCCTTTATAGTTTGTTCTACACACGGATCTTTTCCCTGATATAGCTTTATTCTGTAGTGATTTTCTGAGTTCAGGCAACTACTGTGAATGTAAAATCAAAGCAATACATGGAGTTTTAAGGCAGTGTCCACTGAGAGATATTTGAAAGCTATACTATGATGATTGCTCTGCACCCCGTGTAGTCAAACAGGACCTGAGGGGGCTGCTTAGAATTTAAAGCAAATGTGCACCAGGAACATTTTCCACTGATTTTCCCCCAAAGATCGAGGCTCTGAGCAACTACTTCTTCCGTCTTCCTTTTTGCTGTCTTGTTGCAATATTTGCAGTTTTACAGACATGTCCTTATTTAGCCAACCAGCTTACAGAAACACAACTTTCCATTGAAGGCTAATTTAGAGTCTCAAGCACATGTTCTCAGCTGCTGCAAAATTATGCCACTGAGTGCTATAGGCTCTGTCATTTTACATCAGCTGAGAATCTGCTTGCAAGGGCAAAATAAGTGGATGCAGCTGCAGTTCTCTTCCTTGGGAGTTGCCCCTTATACACAACTGATAGCAGGTGGCTGAGAGTTGGTATTTAAAAACGACAAGTTTTTTGGTGTTTCTTTTTTTTAAATATTTCAGCTGAAGTTCATTCATGTGCTGTCTTTGATGGCTGCCTGGGACCTATAGCCCTTCATAGGTCCATCCTTCAACTCAGAGGAAAGGATTTGGATAGCATTAATTTTAAAAATGGATTTCTAGATCATAAATTAAACATTCATTCTCTCATGCCGTATCATGTGGCAGAATAAAGATAAAATTGAAAATGTGACCTTTTTTTTCTTCAGATAATACAGTGCTATTCAACAGACTCAATTATCCCTAAAGACACATGCAATAATTGATGGCCTGTCAATCAAAGGCCTTATTAGACATGCACATGATGTCACATCACAGTCTAAATCTTAATCTAAATCTAAATCTTCCTGCCAGTCAAAAATCTTTATATAGATTAATCGGATTTCAGATACAAGTTTTGTGTGCAACCTTTTACCCAACCTTTTCAAGGCTGTGATCAGAGAGGACCTGGATCTTTCATGTGTGCTGCTGAGCTGGTATGATGGACTCTGGGCTGTCCCTGAGAGTTTTTTCTCCTGGCCCTGCCCCTGCCTTATGCTGTGGCATTGAACCTGGGTTTGCCTTGGGTGGCTTACCTGGGGTGGACCTGCACTGCTAGGATTGGTCAGTGGAAATCAATAACATTACTGGTTACTGGAAACATTGCCTGTGCTGCTGGGGTCTACTTCTCTTTCCTGTCCCACAATCCCAGGCAACTTTGTCTCATATCTTAAAAGGGAGAAAACAGTGTTGTAGAATATTGTTATCCCATTGCACTTGATGCCTTCCACACTGCTTGGATTATTATCCTATTGCACTTCTGCACCTTCCATTGAAGAGTGGGAAAGGTGGTGCCTTCCTATTGGACCTAGCTGATAAGTCACAGCTTCGAGACACAGCTCCATTATAAATTCTTGTCCTCATGGTGGTGTCATACACATCTCTTCAGGACTGGCAGCTGGATAACAAATCTGAAAATATTATAAATTTACTAACAGGTAATGCATCAAGCTTTGTGTTGCCAGTTGCACTGGCACTTCAAGTCTCTTTTGAACTGAAATAAAAGCAAATGGCAGAGGCTGAGGCTTTCAAGATAATGGAATTTATCTTCTGCAAATCTGCTCTTTAGATGTCAAGCAAAGCAATTTCATAACATATAGAAAAGATCTTGTCTGGCGTTGTTGTATTTTTATCTTTGATGTAACTTAAAAATATTAGGCCATGTTTTGGTGTTCAATTTTCTATAGGTTTTTCAGACAGCCTGATAAAACAAATGGAAAAAAATGTCTGTAATTAGACATCATTCCTAAAGCTGAGGCACTCTGGTGAAAGCCACACAGCAATCTTGGTCTGCATGTAAAACTTCAAAGTGCTTCCTAGATTCGTGAAGTAGAGAAAGACTTGAAGTCAGCAGGAAAATATCAGTAAACAATGAGAAAAAAATCCTGCCTTCAGGTTTGAAGGAGAAAAGGAAAACTCCAAACGTTCACATCTGCAGGACATCGTGTTCATAGTGAGGTTGGCATTATATGCACCATCTTGCATAGCCAGTGTAAGTGGTTTCAATGTCATTTTCCGTCCTGAGGAGTGCTTACAGAACAGAGGATTGCTCACAGTTTTTTCTGGCTAGTGGCAATTCAAAACTTTCAGGTGATCATATATCTTTTTTAGAAACAATGTCTACTAAAGGAACATTAGTTGGCTCCTGTGGGAGAGGAGTGAGAGAGGGTCACTGGTGCAGTGGGACAGCCCATAGTTAGCTCAAGAATAGGATGGCTAATCTTATCCCAGGGCCCCATATTGTGTGAAGGTTTTCTGGGTTTTACCTTATGAATGTGTTTTGTGCATTTTCTTACTTTACTGCATGGTTTCCAGCCTTTGTACAAAAAGATTTCCTCTGAGAGAACAGAGTTTAACATTTGTCCTTGCAGTTAAAAAAGCCACAGGAAACACCTAACAAGACAAGCCAAAGCCAGTGATTTATGAGGCTTCATAAAACTTTGTTGGAAAAAAGATAATTTGAGTCATTCTCCTCTGATTCACTCACAGCTCATCTGCAAGTAAGCCCCTTCCACAGAGCAGTTTGTATGCACACAATCTCTAGTAAATTCTTCTGATGAGAAGGCTCCACTGGCCCTCCATCGCAGCAGTGGCTCTTGCTGCCTGACTTCAGGGCACATTGCTGCTGCCAGCTGTGACCTAGCATCATTCCGCTATGCACCTGGGCTGCTACATTGTACAAGGGTTCATCAGGGATGGGAGAGGGTTTATGAAATTTCTGGAGATTCTTGTTCAAAATTTTTAAAGAAGGAACTGGTTTTTACTGGGATAATCTTACTCCTTTTAGCTTGGAGTTGAAGCTTTAGACTGCTCTCCTTTCACTTCCCCTTGGAGGACAGGGAAAAGCTTAGAGGCTAGCAACAGTTTGGGACCCAAGAGAAACCATAAAAACAGTCTTATGTTTTCTGGCTGATACTTTTGCCATCCTGAAACAACATTTGCGATGATACTGAGGTGCATGACATTAAAGGGAACAAAAAGTTGTCCGGTTGTTGGCAGTCTTACTTTTGTACTTCCTGTCATGTTGGTCTAGAAAATATCTTGTGAATCCTGTAAAACTTTGTCACTGAAGGGTTAAAGAATACTGCAGCTCTGTCACCATGGCAAAATTTGCTTTTCTTCTGGGAAAACACCATTTGGTGGTGGCCCCTTTCTTAGGATGATGTCTGCCCCTTGTTACATTTATTGTACCCTGTAGAATCCCATGCTTATAATAAATTATATATTTTAATCATATATAATTTCATACAAACGTACACTTTGCTAAATGATCTTTGGAGCTCTGGGAAGAAGAGACAAGTGGACTGCATTCCTCAAATGTTGCCTAGCAGGGCACATCTTCATTGGGGAGCGTTTATTAAATAACTTCTTACACAAAGAGAAAATCTTCATTTAATTCAGGTGCCCTTTATTATAGTTTGAAGTTACCAACAAAATAGCAAGGAAATAACAGAGCCCTCCATGCAAGAGAAAAAAGCCACAATATCCTGCCACTGATGACTTGCAGGGCCTCAGAAGCAAACAGGAGTGTGTAAATACTCTTAACCCAAGAGCAAGCTAACACTGGAAGGAGTTGGCCTCATCTCTCTTTGCCTGGCCATGGGGTCCAGGGAAACCCTGCTTCCATACAGGGTGGGGATCAGTGTAAGATGAAATAATAGTTTTTCCCTTAGATGACTCATGTTACAAAGTCGTACCCTGGAATTTCATCATTAAATCCTCCACAAATAGTCCTAAAAGGCTTCCTTTTAACCGTGCCAGAGTAGTGAAGGCAGAAGGCATTTACACATTTCCCCCAAAGACCCAGTCCTTCCATCAGCCCTCCAAACAATTTGCTGACTAAATCTTCTATGCATTTGAATAATTTATGATACGAATAAATTCATTTGTGCCAAGTGAAGAGGTTGACTACTGGGAAGCAGCAATGCCAGCAGAACAAAATTGAAGCTGGAGACATGGAGGAAATGAACCCATAACAATGACAAGCAGTATTGTATGCTTCAGCAGCAAGAGACAGCTGTGACCACATCTGAAATATGAGTGTGGAGAGCAGCAGCTAAAAAGGGTTTTAGAATAAGCAGAGCTGAGCTAAAAAGATTCTGCTGGTTTTGAGCTGCAAAATAAGATTATTATAAAATTACTGAAAATTAAATTGCAAGTGTTATGTCTCATTCCAATTTTTTTCCATTCAGAAAGTATATAAGTAACATTCCCATGCCTTTTACTTTCCACTGACATTGAAGAAATAGAAGTCTCAACTTGTGCCAAATGATCTGTCACCCCAAGCCCTTGACCTGGGCAATGATGGAGGCATGTTACAAATGCATGGAGTGCAAAGACTGGAAATATTAAGAGCCACATCTCAAGTAGTGTAAGCTGGCTATGGTCCAGCTTACACCAGCTGCTGATTAGCTCCATAAATGTCTTAGAGCAGTAACAGTTGGAGGAATGATGGTTTGCATTTGCTAAACACTAATGAGGGCAACCTAACTAGGCATGCTTTGCTTACATTTGTGGCCAGGAGATTGATTACATGGAGGATTTTTAAAATCTCTCTTTCTTTAGCTGTTCTTCAAAGAAATCATTACATGCCACAGTCAAAGCAGCAACCAGAATGACAAATTCATTAAAATCCACTTCATTGTCCTTATTGGAGTCCAGGTCATTCATAATTTTATCAATCAGGAGGGGGTCCTTGTGGCCCTAAAGAGAAAGAAAAGTGACTTAGCTGTGTAGATCTTGAATGTGCAATTCTGACATGCCTGGAACCAATGCTATGTTACAAGACTGGTGTAATTAAATAAAAGGCTGCATCAAATATGCACCTGAACAGTAATACATCTCTAGTCACTACAACATCAGAAACTAAAGACAGTGCAGCCATTATAAGGTGTACAGGTACTAAATAGGCACTGAAATGAATCAAATAGATTTTAGAAGATACTGAACATGGATTCCTTTTTTCAAGATCGATCTGTAAAGTGCATTTCTCTGCATCATCCCTTGACAAACAGTGCTTAGATTTCCAACAGAATACTCATAAGTAGTCATATTATATATCCATTCATCACATTCAGATCTCTGGTTAGCAAACAAACATCCTATTCAGTGGGAGCAAGAACATTAGATCTCATAACAATAAATCAATAACCAAGATTGAAAGAAAATACAATTCAAGGAAATGGATACAATGTAAAGTAAATCCAGCTGGCGGTCATAGGATCCACAATAATTTTTGCAATTGAGAGGATACGTAAAAACATTATTTTAAAAACTTATGATTCCATAAAGGCATCCATGCTGTGTAATGTAATACATAACAAACATGCAAAGAGATACTCAAATCAGCAGCTTATCATTGAAAGGATTTTCTTAGCACCTCTCTGCAGGGCACACAAGCAGCAGTACTGTGTGGCCAGCATGTACAAGCTACTTTCCTGTCTCATGATAACTGGTTGCTGCATTTAATTATTCAATGGACTTATCTATGCCCCATTATTAAAAATAAACAAGAAAACGAAGTAATTGACCTTTATTTAGTAATCATCCTGCTACTGCTTCTTGGCTGGACTAGCCCTCCTGCTCAAAAGCACTGTGGAGTTTGCAGAGCACCAGTACCCGTCTCTGCTGCCAGTGGTAAATGGGAGGGTACTGTGGCTCAACCACCCTCTGAAAACATATTTCTCAAATGGGACATTTGGCATCACATTCTTCTGTACAGCTCCACAAAGAACTGTTATCTGTGAGACTGTGAGAGGATGGGCCTTGCACAAGGAGGTGCTATTCCTATCCAAGAACTTGGATAGCTGCTTAACCCACCCATGGTACAGTCACTCAGGAGGTTCAAAAGCTGCATCTTACTGAAAGGAAGTCAGTGAGCTCACTGGTGAGAAGCTCCTTGAGTTCTCCTTTGCTGAGCTTGTATCTGTCTCCTTCTTTGCCAGAGTAGTGATAGAAAATCCTGATCAAGGTGTCCATTGCATCTTCCAGTGGACTGGTCATAGCAGTGAGCAGGAGAGCTATGGGGCAAATATATGGTCACTAACATTGCACAGGAGTCAAACCAAAGGCTAGTCTCTGGGAAGGGAAGGAGGGCCAGTTGAAGACAGAAATTGTTACCAGGACTGAAAAGTTCAGCTTTCAGTTGATCCATCCTGTTAGCTGTGTGTGAGCAAAGATGGACAGTAATAAAAAAAACACCCCGTTGTCCTGAACTCATAAGCAATTGATTCAAATAGGTAAATGGAAAGAAAGGATTTTTATTTAAGAAAATTATCTACTGTGTATCCATTCTATAAAGCTGCTGTAAAAGGAAATATTTTGCAGCATACCTGAAAACACAGGAAAATTGAAGGCATACCTTCCTAGCTGATAATTTAAAAAATTTCTCAAGAAAATATCTTCGACAAATTCCATCTGCAAAAGTGAAAGTGCATTTATACAGAAAGCTCCCCACCAGTTTAAAGGTGGTCAGAGGAAGATCACCCATAATAAGGATAAGTATCATCCGTCAGTTTATTCGGTCATGTTTGCTTGGGCTGAGCCTTTTTCCTATAAATTGCCTGTAGTAAACAGGTGTGAGCTGATCACCCCCAAGGCTTGCTTCATTGAGCATACAGTAAGAAGGTACACAGGGAAGAACATCAAAAAAACAGAGAGAAATGCAATTACTTGCAGAATAGTGGACTGAAAAAGTAACTGAAAGTAGAAATCGAGTATAAGTAAAACCTTATGTTGAATAAGCTCCAGAGAAAGATTAAAAAGCCAGAATGCACCTCAGGGTAGAACAGGGGTCCTGAACAGTATCACCATGCTGAGGTTAAGACTTACCTGCTTTACAGGCTAGTGGAGGTGTATGCAAGAAAATACCCAGATCACAGGTGGTGATGGTCAGCTTCCTTTCAAAACCCATGCACAGGCTCTTGCTTATCAGGCTGAGAGGGTGGATTACACAAATAGAGACAGACGTATAATTGTCACAGGGATGATGGGTCTTCTGTTTCCTTCTGCATTTGCCTACTCTGTTCAATAAAAGCCTCTTGCTGTAACTGGGTCACTAAAATATTCACCAGGCAGAGTAAAGACTGCGTTTGGAGCACATGCAATACTTTTTATCACTTGCTCTTTTACAAATATGCCCATTTGGGCCTTGAAGGTCAAAATTAGAAAATGCTAACAATCACCAAGTCAGTATAATACAACTCTCCACCATTTTTAAAGGAACACTTTCTAATCTGTCTTTCAGCATCTTTACAGTCTAGGTGCCTTAGTGCTGGCAGCCAGAGTTCAAAGGTACCTGGGTACCTCGGGGTAAGCTTGTAGGTGAGTTTGCCACATATTCCTTGAGATATCTACTTTAATTGTCAGATATCTCTGTATGCCTAAAACATTATTTTTTGTTGAATGAAATTCTTGCTGTGGGAAATGCGATCTCAGGAAGAAATCAGGGAACTGGAATTACAGTGTACAATGAACAACAGTCTTGGCTTCATTTTTACAATCCTACACAAAAACTGTAGTCCAGCATCTCTCTCTGAATAAATGACCTTGCCTCAGAAGGGCAGTAAGTGACCTCTTCCCCAGCTCCAGGAACTTAATGCTGGGTGTGAGGGCTGATGGATGCAGGAAAAGCAGCCCTACCATGGTAGGGCCTACTTACCACCCAGAATAACAAATAACCAGAGTTTTCATGACACACGAAACAGAAAACTGCTTGTGAATTTGCTTGAGGGTTTAGTTTCCCTCAGTGAAGCTTTGTACCTGCTGCACACACATGTCCAGAAGCAGAGCTGTGCAGATGAAGAGGGCACAGAACTGCAGCTCCTTCTTTGTTTCATTCCAGACAGAGAGAAAGAGAATAAGGTGGGCATTGTTTTTAGCTCTGAAATCCTACAAGCACTCCTAATTTTGACTATTACCATATATCTCAGCCCACACCCTGCCTGCCTCCTGTGCCTTCAGACATGTTTCTTCTGCCCGTGCTGCTGTGACAAGTCTCCACAACCTGGGGTTCTTGTATGGGCCTCTAGGAAAAAGGGAGGGAAGAAGACATAAAAATACTGGATCCCAGTGCTCAGGGAAGTGACCACGTGTAAAGTGTCATTTTCAAAATAGGCAGGCCCTTGTGGCTAGAGGTCCCTGCAGGCATGCACCTGTGGCCCTCCCTGTGCCAGGAGTATGCATCAGGGAAGGGGCAAGCCAGTGCTCAGGGAATTGTTATAAAAGGTTAAGGTAGAAACCAGAGGAACAAGCGGAACATATCTCTCCTAGAGTCAAAGGAGGACTAGGAGGAGAGCTGCTCTTCAAATCTCTTCAGTATTTGGGGAAAGCTCATGGGTGTCTAATTTTGTGCAGGACTTGTCCCTGTGCTCCTGTCTTCCTGTGAGCACTGGGATCTAGCTGGATCCTATAAAGCATATGAGAGAAGAACATGAGTGATATCAGGCACAGCACATCTCTCCCACTCAGTTCTGGGAACCCTCTATGTTGGCAGATGAGAAGAAAAAGCACGGAGCCCCTTATGTAGCTACAGCCACAGGGTTCTGTCTTGCCTGTGATTCACTAATGATTATAACTATTGCTCAGAAATATTATCCAAATAAACATCAAAATACTTGGTTGTTTTTTGTTGCTGGGTTTATGTGGGTTTTTGCCATTTATTCAACAGCAGCTTCTCCCACAACCAGAAAAAAACCCACAGCTGACTCAATATATAAGCATGAAATCCTTCTGTTTGTCTATATATTATTACACTGATCATCTGGCTAATGAATATTGCAAATTAATTATCTAAGCGGAGTCTACAGGAGGCACAACTTCCAGAAAGCAGGTGTAAACTTTCAGAGCTGACATCCTCAGGACAGAAGAACTAATGGTTTCCTCTATTATCTCCAGAACATCAGCTCAATAATTTATGCAGTGATATAATGTGTGCAGACTCTTTCTACAGCTACTTTTACTCTAGCTAACTGTGCAAGGTACCTTCTTTTCCACACTAGTGGGTGACATACACAGGGAACAGCTGCACTGAGCTTGTTTGCCAAAGGGTCCAAGGAATTTTCTGCGTCCAGTCCTTTCCTCCCTGACTAGTGACAGTGGCCAGTGGCAGCAGATGTCTCACAACTTCTGTGAAGGCAAGTCCCAGCAGTGTCTACTCAAAATTCATGATTACCAATCAAATGTTATGTACTCCCTCATCCAACACTCCAGCACAGTCTGATTTACTATGCTATCTAGTTGGCACTGAAGATAACTAAAGTCAGCACAGACTGAAAAGGAGTTTAGTATCAGGCCAAGACCTGACTCTGTGTCAGCAAACACCATTCTCCCATCAATCCTCACCCTGCAGGTTTCCAGCAGGTTAGGCATGGGAGCAGCACCAGATGTGGTTGACAGAGAATGTAGGACTGCCTGTAGACATGGTGAAGGATTGTGCCTTCCTAATTCATGCCCAAAATTTGTGCATCAGAGCCTGCCAAATCACATAAGAGTTGGTGGGAAAAGGACCTGTGGAGATGCTTAGGCCCACTGCCTGCTCAAGGCTGGATAATCTCCAGCATCAGACTAGACAGGCACAGTTTTGTTTGGGTAAATATTAAAAACCTCCAAGGATGGAGATTTCACAAGTTCTTGGGTAACCTGCTCAGGGGTTGCACTGTATCCCTGGGGAAAACAGCTGCCCTAATCTCCAGTCTGAGCATCTCAAGGTAGAGTTTTGGGCACTGGCCCTTTTTGTATCATCTACCAATATCACAAACACTTCAACTTTATAAATTACCTTCAATCAATCTTGACTCCTCACTCAAACTCAAAAATAAACTTGGAATCAGTCTATCCTCTGACTCACTCAATCTATTTCCATGTTTTACTCTCCCTTTCATTATGTCTTTGACCCTTATAAACTTTCCTAATTGCACCTTTCCAATGCATATTTCAACATTAAAGTGTGGAAGTGATGCCTGTCAGAAGGGGAAGGGGCAGAGTTTTCACCTGGCTCAGCACAGTCTTTAAGGCTGAATTGTGCCATCTTTTCTCAAGCAAGTGATAGTCTTAGGGTAGCTAGACTTACACAATGAGTCGGTCACTGTGACTTCCAGAAGATGATCAGAAGGATGGAGTACCTCTGCTGTGAGGATAAGCCAGGAGACTTGAGGTTGCTCAGCTTGGAGAGGAGAAAGCTCCAGGGTGATCTAAATGTGGCCTTCCAGTACCTAAAGGGAGCTGATGAGAAGGCTGGAGAGGGACTTGTGCAAGAGCATGTAGTGACAGGACAAGGGGTAATGGCTGCAAAACCAGGCAGACGGTTAGTTCACATTTGATAAAAGGAAATCAATCTTTTCTGAGAGGGTGTTGAGGCACAGGTTGCCCAGAGAAAGTGTGGATGCCCCATCCCTGGAAGTGTTCAAGGCCAGGCTGGATGGAGCTCTGGGAAACCTGGTCTAGTGGAAGGTGTCCCTGGCCACTGCAGATGAGTTGGAACCAGGTGATCCTTTGGGTGCCCTCCAAACAAAAGCTTTCTGTGGTTCTTATGATTTCACTGGAGGCTGTTGAGAGAAGGGGAGGTTGTTCCTTGCCCTGTTAATCTGAGAAAGGACCCAACATGCAGGACTGTTTCCTTTTATTTTAGTTAGAGTAATGTAAACATGCACCCAACTGGGAGGCTCTATAGTACTGTTCCTTCCCTCCTACTTGGAGATGGGGCAGTCAGACCATAGGCAGAAAACCTTATCACTGGTCTCTGCTCCTCAAAAAAATGAGCAGAGTTCTGACTTGTTTGGAAGTAGCTGGTCTTTGAAATAGGTCAGCAGTTTTCTTTCTCCACAGCTGGGAAGGAGCTTTGACTTATTCACCTGGATTTTTCCTTGACCTCTTGAGACAGCATGACACAAGCTGCTGTTAAGCCAGAGCAGTTTATAAAGTGCCACTCTAAGTCAGAGTAAAATACTACTCAGCTTAAGTGTGAGAATCTTGTACTCAGGGCATCTGGCTTTCAACATTTGCCAGAATGCATGTGGGGAACATTTTCTCAAAAGTAATTATTGTGCTGGGAAAGGCAAGTCAGCCTCCCACCCACATCCTGTCATTATTTACTTTTCCCACACTCATACAGCTCTTGGTATGCACATATTTTGAATCAGTGTTGTAGCCCCAAAGCAGGAAAAGGTGAGATAGGAAGCAAAACTGCAAGGCTCATAAGGACATTTACACTACATAATGAAAATCCTATATTGGATTAGAGGCTGGATTAGACTAAAGTGTATTAAATAGATTTAGGAGTTTATGAGAGCTACATTTGAGTCAGAAGTTCTTGTTAAGCATTTTCTCATTTTAGGATTGTTAGCATTTTCATTGGTGGTTTGTTTCCATATCTGGGTGGCGGATTGGTCTATTAATTTACATAAGGAATGTCTCCCTCCACGGCAGGTTCCAGCTCACATCTTCAAAGCTGTTTTAACAGCTGTGATCCCATAGGCAGCAGAATAACAAAGAAGAGTTGAATGTCTTGCTAGTAGCTTTCACCACCTAGATTTGGTGGTTTAATCTCCAGGTATCTTTTTTAATGGGTTACACCTCAAAGGCTGCCCAACTTAAGTACGTCCTTATATTCTCTGTTGAGACTTGTTTTGAACAAGTTACACACCTCTTTTCCAAATACATAAGTGACTTTTACACTGAACTGTTCATATCATTGAACCCTGCTTGTTCCCATAGTGGTCATTTCTCTTGTGATACCCACTTAGGATAGAAATTGGAGCACTGTCTGTATTTGAAGTACGAACTTCAGTTACCAGTTACTGTTTTCTCCTCCTCCTCCTCCTCAAAAATTCCTCACCATTTCCTACCTCTGTGAGCAACCATCCATTACTAGCCTGTGAAGGCAACATCTATTATATATGAATGTACTGTTATCTGTAAAATAGTGTAGAAAACTTTCATTAACTCTAAACTGGAATTTAGAATATTTCTGGCTACAGATTTCTTTCTTCCTCTTATGCCTCTGAAGCAGACGGATCAATCCAGCTGTGTATCAGCCAAGAAATTTATGAATTTAATGTTGTCTATCTATGCCCAGGAAGAATGCCAAAATAGTGTAAAATATCTTGGTGTAGCTGCAGAGTCCAGTTGTGCCCCAGGCAGTGGCAGAGGGTCCCGTTACAGAGCAGCCCTGTAACCAGAGACCACACACCCAGTGCCAGCTGGCTGTGGCAGCTCACATTACAGCTATTACTTGGCAATACATCACCAGCTGAACAAAGCTAGGACACTCATTCCCCTCGCATTAGATCTCCTGATCAGTAGGGCAAACCCATCCCTTGGAGATACTGTGGCTCTGACTGACTTACGTTTTTTCCTAATTCAAACTCATATCAACATGCAGTGCCCTTCCTCCTAATTCACTCCAATGTCCAGTTCCTTCCACAAGGCTTTTGCAGCTAGGTTCAGGTTATGTTTATAATTATTGGGATCTCTCCTTGCAGGAGGTGGTCCTATGTCCCAGGATGGTAACCAATGCACCTATCAAGTTGTAGTGGTAACAAAATCTTACAAAAATAGATTTTCCGTGGTCCTAGGTGGGTTGTTGAGTTATTCCTGCCTCAGTTCCTCCTTCCTGGTTTCTAAATATTCATACAGCAGCTGCTACTTTGGGAATGGGACTCCAGGGCCTTGTGTGACAAGCTCTCTGTTGCCAAGGAGCATCTCTGAGCAGTGAGAGCTCCTGGCCCATGCAGATATGCATTGGTACATGTACTTGGCCATGCCATGGTGTGTGGGGTGGCCATCACAGCTCCAGATGCAGAATTTACCATGTTCTTCCGTTTTCTCTACCCTCCGTGTGAGCTCAAGGGGCCCATTTGCAGATAAGTGGCAAATAAACCTTCTTCATCCCCAGTGCCAAACTAAATAGTAAAAATGCAACAGGAAAAAAAGCATTCTAGATTAACTTGATTCAGTATTTTTGGACACTAGTGATGTTAAATCAATATAGAAAAACGAGGCAAATATAGTGTTATCTTAATGTGTGTGTATGTAAGAAAGTAAGAATATTCTTTTGGTCTGGGGCTGCCCCTTAGTGTCCTGCTGAAGAATTGCTTCTTCCAGATCTCAAGCTTGCAACAGCTGCCAAGGCTGCAGGAACCAAGGGAAAGAAACTCCCTCCTGTCTGCTCCAGGGTACATGTAGATGTTTCACTACTGCTTTACTACAGTAAGCTCTGTACAGGGGTCAGCACTGTCAATAGCACACCAATCAAGAAGCATTATCATTAAAAATTACATAGGAAAGAAATAACCATTGCACACAGCCTTGCTAGCTAGAGGTGTAAACTCTGCAGAGAATTTAACCTGACCTAATATAGGTCAAAATATTGGGATAAAATGGTGGGATTTAGGCACATGATTTGCTGAAGTCAGGCTTTATATTCCACTAATTGCCCTTAGACACTCATCCCAAACTTACTACCTGCAGAGGAAAAAGGAAGTTCAGAAGCACTTAAGTCAATGCTCCTGTTTGAAGGGTAAATACAGGAAAAGTCTGGAGTAATGTAATATTCTCCAGAAATATTACAGGATCATTCTGCAAACAGCCATGCATTCTTGTCCAAGTGCAATGGGATCAAGAAACCTCAAGAGGGCATTGAGAGACAGTAGATGGTGAGGGTACAGAAGGTAGGCTTAAAAACAGCGTGAGGCCTTGGATGAAAGCCCAATTTAAGTATTTTGCGTGTGTTTTCACTGTGGTGGAGATAGGAGAAGTTCCCAGAGGACAGAGAAAGAGATATGTTGAAGGATTTGTCTTAGTCTGAAGTGAAGGTAGATGTTATAGGACAGATCCTCAAAACAAGAGGTAACAAGCCAAGATGGAATCCAGCCTGGAGCTAGAAGAACCTCAAGTTCTTCTAGAACAATGGGAGGAACAATGGCAGCCTCTGGCTCAGGACCACAGCAAGGAAAACTGGAAGGTACAATGCCAAGTACTATCCAGAGAGCCGATAACATTAGGTCTGCCATCATGTTAGATAAAGGGGAAGAGACCCACCTGAAAACCAGAAGGGTAGGAACATGACTAAACACAGTACATTGAGGAAAAGTAAAGAAGAGTCATAATGCAAACCTGCTGACACTCCCCAAAGGAGTTCATGATGACTTACTTCTCTGATTACTGCCCACCTTGTTCCCAGAAAATGTTCCTCACTCTTAAGGAAATTAGGCTGCCATGGAATACAGTGAAAAGAATCACAGAGGAAATAACTAACTGAAAGGTAAGTAATAAAGAATAAATTATTAGGTTTTACAAGGGAGCAGAACAAGCAATGGGATCTCACAGGCATGTGCTCTGAAGGCAGTGCTAATCAATATGGTCATTGGTGATTTTGGAAAAGGAGAAAGAATGAATGAATACTTTATCTGTTGTTGATACAAGTTATAAAAAGACTGAAGTTAAAGTTCAGCTGTGCAGGATGCAAGAGGACCTAATGACATTAAGTGAAATAGTGTCAGATAAATTCAGCATAGATTAAACACAAAGTGTCATGGGGACATTATAAGCTCTGAGTTGACTATGACAAATCATGAGAGAGATCTTTGGGTTCACTGCAAGTGAAAACGTTGGTTCAGTAAGAACCTGGAAACAAACAAGTCTAGGAAAGGAATGGAACACAAAAAACCAAAAGTGTTTTTATGCCGCTTAGTTCAAGGGAAGCCCATTTATTCAACATCATGGCAATCTTCCTACCTTCATCTTACACTCAGTACAGCAGAATTATAAGAGCAGCAAAGAAACAGCAGCTATGTTAGAAAGAGCTAAATACACATCTCAGCCTGCAAAAGTAGGTAACTGGGAATGGCAAAGAATTATATATATTCAACAGTGGCACAAAGAAGGTAAAAAGTAGTTATTCATTGTGCTTACAGTATTTCCTGGATGTCCTTACAGCTATTGCAGCTGCAGTTGCTCTGAGGGATCTGCTTCAGAAAAGTGAATTTCTGATGGTACTAGGAAAGGAGCTGGACCAACCCTTCAGGAGCAATGCATGTCTCATTAGGAGCCAGCTTGAGCAATAGAGGTTGATGTGAATTTAGAGGAGGCAGAGATGGTTAAAGTTCAATTGACCTAATTGTCTTTAAAAGACAAGGAAATAAATTGGCTGTTCCTGATTCAATGAACATCATAAATGGCCCAGAGATGTTTTGCATGCATGTGAAAATCAAAAATAGCTGAGATGGTGGAAGTAACAGAGAAAGTCAATAGACATAATTTCCTCTTCACACCTTAAAATGTGGGGCTGCATGTTTTCTCTCCATTTGGAGGAGAAATTGATAATATGCTATGCTGTGTAGATACACTCAAGTGTATCAGCAAGATGCACCACCCCTTCTGTTGTGCCTCCATCCCTCCCTTTGCAGGGCAGTAGCGGGAGCTCCTGCCTCCCAAAGCTCTGGCAGCCCTGGTACCACATGCAAGCCATACCTCATGCAAGCCATATCTGCCCAGTCAGGGAGTTCCTTCATGTCAAACAATGTGATGGTCTCCAGGCTTCCTGTTTGTCTCCTGGCTCACACCCTGGCCACACACTGCCAATCTCATACCACAGCCCTGTGTCACCTGGCACGTCTGATGTTGAGAGCCCAGCACAGTGACAGAGAATGCACTTGCACTTGAGTGTCCCTGGAAACAGCACAAACACATTAGTTCTCAAGTCTTTGACAGCATTTGTATTGCTGTTCTGATTTCTCTGTTTCACTTCTCCTTGCTGTTTTTACCCTTGCTTCTGCACCTCCCATGAGTAATGCTTGAAGCCTTTCAGCCCCTGCATTTGCAAAGGGACTCCCCCGGCTCTAGCAGCCTTCATTCCATCTCAGTCTGCAGCATGAGTTTCCCTTGAAAGGTTGTGCATCATTTTCCATCATCCTGCTACAGAAAACCTGCTTTCTATGGGTGATCAGTTAGCTCACTTCCAAGTCTGCTAGATTAGATACACAAAATTAGTGTGAATGGAAAAAAAATATCATTTCAGCATATATCTTCAGTGTATAAAACCTTAGACACAGATGTTGGAAGAGACAAAGCAAACACAGGTGATTGCAGAACTACTAGTACTTCCATATAAGCCTTAAAAAAGCTTACATTCACAGCCTCCTCCTCATCTCCTCGCTGCCATGCTGAAACCTTACACCTTTTATCAACATGTCATCTCTACTTCAGAGAGTGACATAACACTGTTGAAATTCTGTCTTAACCACAGGACATTGTACGGGTTGCATTCAAACTCTGTGATTGCAGAAAGTTCTCCACATCTGTTATCCCTGAGAGTTTAATAACATTAATATTGTACCTTCTAAGAAGAATGTATCACTCTAAACAGAAATTCCTTCATAATCAGATTCAAATTAATTTCTGTTATTTGCTTTTCAGAGAACTGAAAATATCAAGAGTACCTGAGCTACAAAAAGGAGAATGTCAGTAACTAATGTAATGTGCAACATTTTTGAATTTATGCCTTTACTTCCCCTGCAAATATTTTTTGCCTTTTTTGCTGTGTTTTTAGAATGACATTAGATTTTTCCTCTATGGAAAGTATTTTCCAAATTAACTCTTTTGCTATAATTTAAAGGTTGTTTTAAAGTTCATTGTCACTCTGTTATTTCCAGTGAAAGCAGGACACTGACACATATGCAGAGACTGCTGTTAAATGAGGTGTTAGGTGTACTTTTGATGATACAAAGCACTACCATCCCTGAATTAAGAAGCTTGATGATATCATCATCCCTACTTGTTCTCTTTTTCTAGAATATTCTGGTTTCTTGGGATAATTGGTGGATATAAGAGGTTAGTGGGGTTGCAGGAGCAAGTTCATGCTACTATCTTCTTTCTATTGTGTTGAGTTGGATATTTAAATATGTTCATTTTGGTACAAGAGTGAAAGTATCCTTACTTTCAAGTAGAAAGAAGCAACTTCAAATACCTGATATAATTTAGACTCCTTGGAGTCATACTCCAGCAGCAGTATGTCAGAAACTAGTATTGTATCAGTTGTGACTGCTGCATTAATTGTACAGCCCTCTAATTATGGTACCTTTATTAATTACACATGTTGTATCTTACAGTGGTCATTGAAGAGTAAGTAAGAGGCACTGATGTCTTTTATTCTAGGGATAATCTATGTAAAATGATGCCACTCACGGAACTTTCCAACAACAAAAATTACAGATGTTGCTGATCTGTGGAAAGTTCCTACATGATATAACTAAGTATGTATTTTTTTTATCAGGCTACTGAGACCAGGCATTCCCCATTCTTCATTCTTCAGGTCACTGTCAAGAGAAGTGTGCAGTAAAATGAAAGACAGATGCTCTCATTTCCTCTAATGATGCAATCCCACTAATGGGACAGGTCCAGCACCCTCAGTTGCTCCTGACTCACCTAACAAGATGGGCTGCAGCTCAAGAAATACATCCCAGCCCATGTTCTGCCTGTATCAAAGAGATGAGGACTTGCAGCATCTTACAAGAGTATTACAATTCCTTGCTGAGGAAGATGAAAGTCTGGCAAAACCCAGTACATACAAGGCTTTGCTTTTGCTCAAATATTGATTCCTTACTTAAAATGTAAACTTTTTTCTTGAGTCCACTCTTGTGAAGCAGCCTCAGCCACCACTCTCAGCAGCACGTAGTTATCTGTAACTACAATGGCCATGGTAAATTAAGTTACAGATAGAAGTTACGGGTAAAGCAACATTTCCACAGGGGAAAGGTTCACATTCACATCAGATGCTCTGGAAATAATGACAGAAATCAACTACCACTGACAATAAACTTCTGCATGTCATATTCCAGAAATCTGGCGATTACAAGACTTAGACAGCAACACCTCTTCTTGCTCAGATAAGCTTATGCTTTGAAGATTTGGTTTTAGCAGTGGTTTAAATCCAAGAAAAAGCAAAGGAGGTTGAAAGATATTGTGACAATATTTTGCTTCGAAAGTTACACTCCAGGATCCCCATATCTCCCCAGCAATCTGCTTTCATGATCCCAAACCTAGCAGGGATATTTAATATCACCTGTTAAGTCCTTCTTCTTCTCTTATATCAGATATGTATGTTTGTTTTGAAATGGGGAATTACAAAATAAAGCACAGCAGAAGGAAACAGGATTGTCTTTCATGCTTGTGTGTTTGTTAAAGAAAGTGTGCAGTAACAGAAACAGAAGAGGGAGCCTTTAATCACAGTATCAGCTTTGTTTGCAGATACTCAGAACATTAAATAAAGCATGCTCCTATATGTAACATTCTTTCCCCAGATGATGGACAGAGTCCTCAGCTAGTTCTTGAATATCACCAACCTCCTTAGGCTTGGACTGACAGCTTGGTAGGTGTGTGACATGTACCCTCCCCTCGGCTGAGAAGCCATGGTTCCACATTATGCTGGGTCCCTTCTGTCTGCCCAGAAGGCACTATTTCCCAGCACTGCAAGCCTCCTGAAGCTAGGAAGCTGATATGCAACAGTGTGGGTGTGATTTCAAGATGGGCTGTCTACTCCATGGAAACACCAAGAGCCAAAGACCTTGCATCTCTGACTTTAGTGGAATGACTTTGGCTCCTAAAGTGGAAGCAGGTGCTCTGGGAGGGAGGAAAGAGACTGCTAAGCATGATGAATTACCTTCTGCAGGTGTCTGCCTACCCATTTAGGATACTTAGATACTGAAGCAGAGATGTGTGTCTTGAGTCCACTTCTGATTACCAACTGTGAGGAGCTCTCACTCCAAAGAAGGAATGAATTGCTCAGTGAAAAGGTACCATGAGTTCATGCTAAGGGAAACTGTGCATCAGCTGGCATAGGATGTGTGCCATGTACACACTAGAGTGACAACGCTGCCTGAACAAGAACACAAATCGTCCTCAAGCCACAGTGTTCTCTGAAGCCCTTGTTCCTCCCAATCACATCTGACAGGTCTCGCTCAGTGTCTTTGTGTGCTACAACCAACAGTGACTCTAGGGTTGGTGTTCATGCCAAACGCTGTTTAAACTTAAACCACACATGGAAGATAAAAGGCTCTTGAAGATAAAAGCCCTCTTGAAAGAGGGCTGCTGACATCTCTCTTTCCTAAAGGCCTGCTATCTTAATTTGAGGTGTAAGCAGTGAAAGCCTTAGCAGCAAAGTCAGGCACTGCCATTTCCCCATGTTTGGCAGAGGTATCTCCATTCTATCTGTGGTGTGTTGTCCCATGTCCTAGAGACAGAACCTTTTCTATCCACCTGCCCATGCCCTGCTAAGCACAGTTACCAAACTGAAGGTAGCTGGGGGTTAGCTCTCTCTCTCCCTCTTTCCTCTCCCCTCTCTCTTGCCAGCTTTTCCTGAGCACCTTTTTGGCTCCTGCTGCAGAATCTGATTACACAGATCTCACTGTGGGCTTACTTTTGCTGATGCTCTTAGCCAGCTCTACATCCTTCTACAGCAAACCTGAACAAAGGCACCTGCATTTTTCAGAAACATCAGACCAAAAAGACCAAAAAGACAAGCAGTGCACCAGCCATCACCTTTAGAGATTTCCTTTGTCGTGTCCACTGTTGACCCTGTTAACCAAAATGCCATGCTTGCTGGGAGTGCTGCAAGGCTCCTCAGCCTTGTCTGCTCACCCAGGGTCTGGCAGCCACTCAGACATTTACTGAGGATCATCTTACTGGCTATTGTAGTATTCATGACTCTGCCTGTTTAACCAGTCATAGTGACTTGGGCAGCTTCCAAGCAAGCAGCCTAATACACACAACAGTCTTCATAAATTATGACAGAGCAGTTCCATAACTTCATTTCAGCATTTAGTTTCACCATCGAATCTCTTCATAGTCATATGCATACACTCATGTGCAATAGCACACTTCACTCCAGCTCAGAAATAATACCACCACAATACAGCCACCCCCAGCATTTCCAGTTGTGCTCCTGAAATTAATGGAGACACATTAGTGACTTCAAACAAAAGCAGGCAACTTCATTTGAATGGGATACAGCACCACTTGCCTCCAACATGTCCTGAATTAGTGCTAAAGGTTTGTCCTAGATACTTTTACACTTTGAACCACCATGTTGTTTGGCTCATCCACTCACAGAAAGCCAGACAGGTTTGCCAGACTGGGATTTGAAGATGAAATGTCTCGGGCCATGTGCGTCACTCTTAAAGTATGCGCTGAGTCACCACCAGCTAAATCCAGGGAACACCACAATGTGGCGCTCCCTCCCGAGTCAATGCAGTCGTTTTGACTCATCCACTGTTTCTTTTGTTTACTTTATATTCCCCTAACTTTTTAAACTGGAATGTCTTCAGGACATTAAGGAAACTCCTTCTACCCATCACACTGTATCTTTTAATTCACGTTCTTGAAGTTAATTATTTCATTAATTTCCGCTTATTCAGTGGGTTAGCCTCTCCAAAGCAACAGCATAAATTATGCCCACCTAAATTACTCCTTTTCCCCAAGTGCTTACATATGCAGAGACAGGTTCCATGCAAACAAGCTCTACCTCTCCACTAGCTGCAGTCCACAGGACTATGTGATGAGCAGTCCCCACTGCAGTCATTCAGCTGTCCTGACCTCAGGCTCTGTGGAGAAAACATCAGCACTGATGGTGTTCCTCACTGCTGCATTGCCATATAGCTAATGGCAGCACAATCCAAATGCTCAGGATTTCACCAAATTAAGCCCTTACTAAGCAACAGGAGCTATATACATATCATGAACAGTGGAAGAGTATTAATCTCCTCTCCAAGAGATCACATGGATATTAAAAGCCTGGCAAATGCTATAAATTGGGGAAGGGAGGGGAAAGGGTGTTACCAAATAAACAGTACCTCAGACTCAAGCACACTGAACTCTGTTCCCAGTAGTTTGCTTCTTGAAGGTGAGGCACAAAGCTGGAATGCAGTTGCTGAACCAAATGTAGGTGATAACTGCAACAGATACCCACTCATGCAACTCATGTTTGCTCTCACAGAAAGCACTCACCATTTGATGCATGCTTGGCAGTTAAAATGCTGCCAGCCTTAAGAATTACTATACATTGATTTTGAGAACTGCCATAAAACACAGTGGGCGTTCCTCCTGCCCATTGTTTCCCCAGAGGTCTCTGCACCAACTGACTGGTCGTGGGAGCTGTAATACCTGGAGGTGACCTATTGATAGAGAGCTGAGAGTCTTTATTGGGGTATTTCTCTCAAGTTCCATACGTAGAGTTGTCAAACCTAGGTTTTTCTTCTCTTCCCACATTTTGTTGCGTTGCTTCATTATACAAGTGCTCACTAATGCTCTTTACTGCATATTACTAACACTTTCAAAACAAAGGATTGAGGCTTAGTCCATGCGTGCTACCTGCAGACCATGTTGACATGCAGACCTCCAAACACAGAGTTTACTTTAGCAGCAAGACTCCGCTTTACAACGCATAATAATCCCATGGAGACCAGGTGTAGCAAGTTCTACCACAAAGCTGCAGTCTCTAGGTTACAGCTGCATTAGGGCCCTAGCTATGGGTCTGCTGATCATAGACTGTACTTGCTCTCTCCCCTGGACACTCCTATTCTCTGGCAAAAAGCAATATGCAGGTGAGCACCATGCTGACACAAGCTGCATGTAGCATTCAACAGCTATGTGGCAGGGAAGCAGGGTACCCAGAGACATGGGAGTGGACACACTTGCTATCTCTGCATTTCAAATGCTGCTTCTCTATTGAGGCATAGACCCTGAAGATTGACTCTGATAGGATTCAGTTACAGATAATACCAGGCAGACCTTGGTACCACTGAGCTGACTCTGTACCACAGGAGAAATCCCAGGTTCTTTATGAACTCTACTACAGCTATGAACCTATCTCCATGTTCACACAAATACACCTTTCTCCCTTTTCCTGGCCTCCAAAGAGCTGGCAACATCACCAGGGAAGCTGGTTTTGGGCACATTTCAATGACAGAAAAGTCCAAGTCACAAAAGCTCGTATTGGATCGGTGAGTCCTTGTGGAATGATGGAATTTGTCACAATATCTTTGCACAGCATTCCATGCATCCTTCACAATCTCTAGTCTGTTTTCCATTATCTGAAGCATCTCCACCTCCCTTGGTCTGGATGACAAGAGAGCTGACTATGTAGCCAGCCTGTTGTACTGGTCCTGCTAGCAAACAATGCCTTGAGAATGTTTACCTGCAAACCTAAAGAAGGTTATCACTCCTGAGACAAAACATGTAGGTAATACATACTCTCCTGACTGTTGCTGAATCAAAATTATGATGACTAATGTGCTTATGCTGTATTTAAGAGTGATGCTGTTTATTAACCATGTTCAAAGAGCCTATGACAGATCAAATACATCCATAATGAAACTTGGGTCCCAAACAGCTGTTACTGCAGGTAGGCATTGTGCTGCTTGATTCCCAGAGCAGTTACAACATACTGGGCTAAATATCTTCAGTCATCATACCACAGTCAGACAAAATGAAGCCTAAACTTGGTGGGCCAAGGTTGTTTTCATTGAGGAGTTATGAAAAAAAAATAAGACAAAATAGCTGAATTAATAACTGAAGTGTGTTATCTCTTGCCAAAATTATACCTGAATACTGGGAACCAATGCCATAATCAATAAAAGGTTCTGGCATGTCAAGGAAAATATAGTTCCATGAGCTAAATATATGTACTGAGTACTAAGTTAAGAGTCTAAGAAGGGACATCACTATGGGACTTCTGGACCTTTCTGGTGAAAGTCTCGACTGTTTCTGTAAAGAGAATTCTGGACTCAAAAACTTTGTGGAGTTCTTGGAAGAGGCCAAACACAGGTGGAGAAAAGGGTGATGCAGCATATCCAGTCTACCTGGATTTTTGGCAAAATTCCCGATCAAAGACTTTCAGAAAAAGAAGGCAGCCATGGAAGAGGAGAGGTTGTTTTAGAATAACTGATTTCAAGGGAAAAAAACCACAGTAACAGAAAAACAGTCAGTATTCACTACGTCAGTAACTCACCTGTGTTTATAAATGGTCTGAAGAGGGTAGAGCACTGAGGAACAAAAGTTTGCTGCTAACATTCTAACTTGGCATACAGAACAATGGTTTGTGAAATGGCTGTAACCAATAGGGAAAGAGATGTAAGTACAGGCAGCTGTATGAAAACATCAGCTCATTGCTAAGGAGTTAAATATTAGGGACTATTGGGGAAGCAACACAGTGCAAAACAGAAGTCACCAATGTACCATCTACAGCTCGAATACTGTGTGTTGTTTGGAGAGTGTGTATAGAAATGGGAAGGTCTTAGAGAAATTAAACGAGACAATTGCTGAGAGTGGCTGACTGGGAAGGAATTGTCTGACACCAACACGTGCAAAGTACCTAAAAGGAAATATGATACTGGCTTACAAAATTTCAAGTAGATGGACAACACAGGG